GGCCTGCGCGTTGGGGTCGAAGCCCAGGTCGAACCACATGCCGTTGCGCGCGTACGCGTCGCCGTCGCTGCGGCTGGCGTTGGCGTAGTAGCTCCAGGGCGACGCCAGGAAGGCGTCCAGGCTGCTGGCGCCGCGGAAGGCCGGCGCGTGGTGCTTGTAGTAGGCGAAGGAGGACTCCAGCTGGAAGGCGGGGTCGCGGAGGATGGAGAAGTAGAAAGTGTCTCGGGGCATGACCTTCTGCACCTGTTGGGAGACACGCGGGACACGAGCTGGGGACCCCGCGGCAGCTCATGGCCCAGCCAGGCACAGCCCGCGGTCTCGGGGTCTGGGGCCTCCAGCCCATGTAACGCCCACTGAACGGACGAGGAGGCCGAGCCTTGGGGAAGCCCGGACGCCTGCAGGGCCGGCGAGGCCTGACGGGGCAGCTCTGCAGACACCCTGCCCTGTGCCCCCCGTGCAGGCCCCGCAGGTCAAGCCCGCTGGAGCGGAGCAGCCAGGAGACAGCAGCGGCTGCCCGGGTGCCAGGCGGCCCCTCCCTTCCCCGCCCACCGCACGCCCGAGCCCTCCCCGCCCCGGGCCTCCCTGCCGCCGGCCCAGGCCCCCTGGCTCCCTGCCTGCCAGGCTCCACGGAGCACCCAGAGTGACCCTGAAACACCCGAACGCTTCCCTACCCTTCCTGGCCCAAATTCCCCGCCCTGCCCCCACTTCCTGTTGGGAGGAAGGCCGGGGAAGCCCCTGGAGGAAGGGACCACTAAGGTGAGACCCAAATGACCTGGAGGAGGGTCCTCCCGGAAGCGGACAGACAGCAAGTGCAAAGGGACTGGGCATGCGCACATGAGCGGAGGCCCGAGAGGAGGGAGAGGGTGGGCATGCCCTGTGGCGGGGCCGGGGACTACCCTCTGTCATCCCAAGAGCAATCGCGGGCGACTGGCAGCCTGCAGAGGTGGTAAGGCCCCGCGGGGTCTACAGCCAGGCCTCCCCGCTCCCACAGGACCTTCATCGACTCCTTGCAACCCCACCCCACAGCCTCTAGGCTACGACACCCCCAACGCCCATGGTCACACCTGGAAGCCAGGTGCACGGCGGACGTGGGACCGACCTTCCTCCCCAGCCCGCACCTTTGCCCCACAGAGGGGCCTGGCCCCAGCCGCACCTCGGGCAGGTTGAACCTCAGGTGGTTGCACATGACGTTGAACCGCCGCTGGGGGCCGGGCCCTCCCTGCTTGACGCCCTCCACGTGGTACGCCTGGAAGAGCCCGGGGTAGCCCAGGTGGAAGTGCGGGCCAGCGGGCAGCGCCACCGACAAGTTGTGCGTCTCCGCAAAGCGGTACAGGATGTTGAGCACCGTGCTGCTGGCCGTCTTGTGTGTTTTGAGGAACATGATGTTGGTGACCGGAGGCCCCTCGGCCTGGTCCTCAAGCAGGCTGGCAGGGAAGGCAGAGGCCACCGTCAGCAAGGGAGCATCGTGCCCCCGAGCCATCCCCCGCCCACCAGTGCCCCCAACAGCATGACCCCTAACCCAGCAACCCCCAACCAGGAGACCCCCGAATCGCAGCCCCGTGGACCCAGGCAGCCCGCTAGGACAGACACAAGCCCTGACAGCTGGGTGAGCCTGCGTGGCTGCGCCATCTGCCCCAACCCCGTGACACAGGCTCAGCCCCCAGGCTCCCACATCCCCCCGTGGTGACCCCCGTCTCCTCTCTGGCTCATGGGGCACCTCGGTCACACATCCAGCATACTTGGCTGACCCTCATGCTGAGACAAGGAGGGGCCCCCAAAGCCAAGACTGGCCAGCCTGACGGGGCCAGAGTGGACCCTGGAGCCCACTCCAGTGACCCCATCATGGCGCCTACCCAGCGGGCCTGGGGCAGCAGGCAACCTCCATGCCCTAATGCAGTAAGAGTGACCAGGCTGATGGGGGACAGGGTCCAGAGGCGTGGGCCAGCCTGAGGGACAATGGGGGGCAGGCAAAGACAAAGACCTTGGGACCCACCCCACAGCAGCTTGGCCTGAGGGTGTCGGTGTTCCCCATCTCTCCTGTGGTATCCAATCAGGGGGCCGCAGGGGCAGGGGGAGGCGGCCTGGGGCTGTGAGACACTTCCAGCAGCCTGGCTAAGGCCCTGGCCTAGGGGTCACAGTTGGGCTGTGAGAGAGGGTGTGGTGGCCACTCCCATGGAGCTGGGGACTTCACAGAGAATGTGTCACCATCAGGTGGGGGCCTGTGGCCATGAGGGAGGGAAGGTCTGAACTTCACCCTCCCAGACCCCACCCCGGGCCCAGCCCCAGCCATGCTGGGCCACCTCTGTTGGGAAGAGCCAGGAGGCAGCTCCCAGAGCCCCCCCCCGCACCCTGCCTCCCAGCCCCCGGCACCCTCTGCACACACCAGCTCTACCCGGCAGCCATATTCCCAGCCCAGGCCCAGCCCTGATGCCCCCAGAGACCTCTCAAGAGGCTTGGGTGGGCTCATCACCCATGGGAGATGCTGGGGAGCCCCAGGACACTAATAGGTCCCCACAGGGAAGTGTGGAGGGCCCGGCTCAGGACTTACGGCGTGAGCTGTATGGCATTCCTCTGCAGGAAGCCGGCCTTGTGCAGCAAGTTCCTGTGCAGCAAGAGCACGGTCAGGGCCAGGAGGATGAGGAGGAGGACCCTGAAGTACCTGTGGGGAGGGCGACCTCGTCAGTGCCCACGTTGGGGCCAGCACCAGCCCCCGCCACCCCACGTCCCCTGTTCTAAAGTCAAACCCAGGTCCTGGGGCCACACATTCCCCACGTGGGTCTGGACCCCCCACATCCCTGAAACGAACTTGTATCAAACCTGCCATGTACCGGCCCACGGGGGTGGGGCCAAGGCCAGGGACAGACAAGCGCCAGACACCGCCCCTTACCATGCCACCCCCCAGGGCTCAGAAGCTGGGAGAAGCCAGAGCTGCTGACCCATCCTCTTCCCCGAGGTGAGGGGGGCAGACAGACAGGCTGATGGGCCCAGAGGCGACAGCAGATAAGGGGACCCCAGCCTGTCACAGACCCCTTGGGAGACTGGAGCCCAGCTGAGACCCTGAGCTTGGCACCCCCAGGGGGCTGAGAGGCGGTGCTATGGACTGGATTGTGTCCCCCGACGTCCATGTGTTGAAGCCCTGACCCCCAGTGTGATGGCATTTGGAGGTGGGACCTTCGGGAGGTGGCTGGGGTTGGATGAGGCCATGAGGATGGGGCCCATGATGAGATTAGTGTCCTTGTGAGTAGAGACACCGAAGAGCTCACTCTGTCTCCCACCTCACCCCACGTGAGGACACAGAGAGAAGATGGACGTCTGCAAGCCAGGCGCAGAGCCCTCAGCAGGACCTGGCCATGCTGGAACCCTGACCTCCAGAACCGAGGGACACTTGTGCTGTTCAGCCACCCTGTGCGTGGCGTCTTGTTCTGACAGCCCGAGCTGACTAAGACAGCAGGCAAGGTGGGTGTGTCGGGAGAGAGGGGTGGGGTGTGCGGGCCTTCCACCACTGGAGGGGGGAGGGGGCCCCACAAGCGGGGACCTCGGAGGGCCTGGCCTGGGTAGCAGGAACTCAGCAGGTGGGCCGCAGGTGGTGGCCCCTGGACACTGCGAAAGCTCAGGGAAGAGCAAGTCTGGACGAGGCCTGTCCCCGGCATCAGGAGGGGACCTCCAGGGTCCTCCCATCCCAGGGCAAAGCTCCCTGAGCAGACGGCAGCAGATGGCCCCTCTCGCGCAGTGACCACTCTGGTCCCGCCTCGCCCACGTGTTGAGGTCTGCGGCCATGACTCCAGCTTCCTCAGCCTCCTTCCACCTTCCGTGCACACGGCTCTCCCTCCCCGGCCCTCCCCAGGCCTCACGGCCAAGAGCACAGGAAGCCCCAGAGGAGGCGGCCCACGGCCGGTCTGGAAGCACCTGCGCTGAGCTGGGGAGACGTGTCCTCCCCAGGCCCTGCAGGGGGGCCACTGTGACAGAGGGAGCCCGTGCGCCCTGGACAGGCTCGGGGTCCTGCCTGGGACAAGTTGTTCCCAAGCCCCCAGAGAGGCGCCACACTGAGCCGTGGCGTCCCGCTGTACTGTGGAAACGTGTCTGCTCTCCTCACAAGACCCTCCCAGGGCAAGCAGGTTTTGTCCCCACACTTGGCAGCGAGGGGTGGTTTTACAGCCCCACACGGTTACCGTTTAACCACCACCTGATAAGCCGCACAGAATCTAACTGAGCTGCGACCAAACCCAAACACCCCACGCTTTTATGGGCCCCCTGCATAGTTGAATAAGCCTCCCACCACGTTTGAGGACTTTGCTGTAACATTTACAACCCCCTTGGCCTCGAGGCAACGTGAATCTCAGTTCTTTGCAGCTGCCAGGCTAGAACAATGACGTCTTCAGAAAAATCCCCCCATTTCTAAAGACAGGCTCTTCCTTTACAAAGACCATCTGGTCCCAACGGCTGCAGGGCCAGGTGGGGCGGTCCATTTTGGAGCCGGCAGGAAGGCAGTGACCACGTGGGCCAGGGGGGTCAGCCCAGCCCAGCCGATGCACTTGGCTGGCCCCAGGGACCATATGTGGGGTCGCTTCCGGGGCTGTAAATAGGCGATGTGTTATTCCAAGCAGAGGGACTGGGGGCCGTGGGGGCCGCGGAGCCCGCTCTGGCCCGTATCCATCCTTACGCACGAGTCACACAGAGGCGCTCATTCTTTAAGGACGGCCCACGGTTACACAGCGTGAATGTACTAAGAATCACTGAATGGCGCCCTTTAGATAGGTGAATTGTGTTTGGCATGTGAGTCACATGTGGATATGGCTGTTTTAAAATTGTTTTTTTAACTTTTAAACACTACAGCTGCTAAATAAAAGTTTTAAAGCCAATGATTGTGAGGAAAAAAATAATATTGCTAAAAATTACTAACGATTTGACGTGGCTTCTGAGGGCATTAGCCAAAGGGACTTCCTAGAGTCACTGTGCCCCACGCTCCAGCGTCTCGAGCTCAGAGCTGGCATCTGCAGCGTACCGGGCCTCACTGCCTTTCTCTGGGGGTTGGCCTGAGTGGCTCAGTGGATTCCAAACAGCCTCAGACTTCCTGCTTTGGGAGCCGAGGGTCTTGGAGTCTCCTGGCCCAGCCTCTCTGGGGTGGTTCCTCCTGAAGCTAGGGTTTTCTGGGTCCCTGTGGTTGCCAGGAGGCTGTGTCAGGCCCTGCTGTCGGGGTCCACAGGGCACAGGCCCCGGCAAGTGGCTGTCCTCATGGGGAACAGCGTGGCCCCTAGGCCCGAGGCCCGGCCCTGATGAGCAAGGCCCAATGCGTGCCTGCAGGCGGCGGCTCGTAAGGCCCTCGGGGAAACTTTCTGAAGACCTAGGTAAGACGCAATAGAAGATCTAAGACCACGGATAATAAACAGTCCTCAGGCACTCCACGTCCAGCTCAGGGAACTTCCGGTTTTGGAAATCTCGATTACCGTGAGGGAGACTCACATAGATTCTTAGGGAGATGGGTTTTTATCCCCAGGATTAAACACGCGCGCGCATGGTCCCTGCTGGCCAGCTTGTGGACGTGGACACACGTATCCCCGTCTGTGGTGGTGAGGACAGAACCCAATGTCCCACCATCATTTGGAGGTCAGCAATTTTAGTTGGAATCTAGAAAAACTGGACAAGAGCCAGTGAGTGAGGCATCCACGGCCACCTCAGAGGCAGCCACCTCAGGACGTGTCAGGCAAGATAGCAGAGGGACACACCGCCAGCCACCAGCGCTGGGACTGCACAGCCTCGCCCCGGCGGCTGGGTCTCGGGGGGTCTGTTACACAGATCACCGACACCAGGACAGCCCAGGGTGGCCTGTGTCCCCCCCGTCCCCACCAGGACCCCCATTTTTCCCCCGATGTCACCACTTCACGCTCAGCAGCTGGGTGTGGTGTTTCTTTGGCCGTGGGCCACGCCGCTTGCCGTGAAGCCAGTTCGGTGGGCCGCACCCGTCACGCAGCGGGCGCATTAGAACATCGGACGGCACAGAACAGAAGAGAAGGCGCGGGACGGCTGCAGGAGGGGAGAATGTAGAACAGGGTGCGGGGCAGCAGAAAAGTCTGGGACACCACCCCCGGCGAGGCTGAGCACGGTGGTGTGGACCTGTGTCCAGACGCAGACGTGTGGCTCTTCCTCGACCCTTCATCACTGCCACCCCGCCCCGGGCAGGAAGGGCGCTGGCCCCGCGCGGGTCCCCGGCAGTGCTGCCCTCAGCCCCGGTTCTTTCTCTGCCTCGTCGGACCCCTCGGGCCCGTCTCCACCCAGCAGCCTCCTCCAGAGCCCGCACCCCAGGTGGCTGGACAGGTCGCCTTCTCAGAGAAGCAGCCCCAGACCCTGCTCCCCTCCCCACGGGAGCCGCGTCCTCCTCCTGGGACCAGCACTGCCCCCTTGGTGCTGCCAGGAGCCAGTCTTGGCAAAAGCGGCCGAGTGGGGGTCCTGGGTCCCCCCCAAAAGCCGAGGCTGAGGACGGCCCCTGCCCACTCTGGTACAGAAGGAGGCGGCAAATCCCCCTTCCCTTTCCTTGGAGCATTGACTTAAGTGCCCTTAAATGCCCTCCTGGTGCTCAGGGCTACCACGGGGGCCAGGTGAGCCCCCCGGGAGAGACCGCGGCTTCGGGCCCGGTGGCCAGCCCCCGACCCAGACCTCAGACAGCAGCCCCTGCCCCAGCCACCCCTGCCCCTGCATCGGCAGCGAGAGGGTGTGGGGACCGCAGCCCTGCCTGTGGACCCCGGTGTAACTCGGGGAGGGTCAGTGTCACTGCGTCTGCCTGCAGAGGCGACGGAGGGGGCTGGCCCTGCCCTGGCTGAGCCCATCCTGGTGCCTCCTTCCTCCCAGTGGGGCTGCTCCCTACAGGTGGCAAATGGCCTGTGGTGCTGAGAAAATAGGAGACAACGGGTACAGTACTTCCAATTTGACCCTCCTGGAAGCTTCTGTGGCTCCAAGAGCAGCCCAGGGTAAACCCCACCTGGCCCAAGAGGCAGGAGCCAAGCCACCCACAGGGCACCAAGGGGGAGAATGCATGTCCCCACACACCTGGGGTCGCCTGGACCTCTGTCCTCCCCAGCTCCTCCCTTCCCCAGAACCCTTCCTGGGACAGGCTCCAGTCCAAGGCCCAGGAGAAAGACCTCCAGATCTTCAGGCCCAGCAGACACCAGCCCCGCAGCCTCCTGCCACAGCAGTCACAGCTGGACGTGGTGGACCGGCAGCCTGAGCCTCCATACCCCCAGCACTATGGACACCTGCCCGGGGGCCACCGCAAGGACTCAGAGCCTGCTCCGCAGGTCAGGGACTAAGGAAGGGGGACAGCCCTGTCTCAGACAGCTGCCCAATTCACAGCCAAACAATGCGTTCCAGAAGTCAGGCCTGGCTGGTCCTGCTGCCAGCAGGAAACATTCTGAGATTTTCTTTCTGGATGTTTCTTTCAGCTGGTGGTTGGCCCACTAATGGAATAGGAAACGTGGAAGGTCACCGTCCCTGGTCACTGGCATTATGGCCTCCCACAGGCTTGGTACCACGGTGGGAACTGCAGATGGGAGGGATACCTTTCTGTCAGCCTGTCTGGTTCTGTGGACACCAGCCCACTGCTGGGTCAGGTGACGTCCACAGACGAGCCAGCACACTATCCATTTGGGGACAGACCATCGGGCTCCCAGGTGGGTTCCAGACACAAGCCAGGTTTTTCCAGGGGCAAATGGTGGCCTCTGTACCTTCTCAAAGAGCTCTTCCTTGCCTGAGAGCAAACCAGCTGGGACCAGTGGGGGAGGGAGAACAGAGGGGCTCTGGATTGCAGCCCCCTCCTCAGACAGGCGGGGAAGGGGATGCAGGGCTGGCTGGGGTGGGGCGAGGGCAGGCGGCCACCACAGCAGGCACGGCAGACCTTTACCAAGTCCCCCACCCACATCGTCCTCCCCCTGCACAGCCAGCCCCCAGGACTGGGAATCATAGAGCCCCCCACGAGGCCCTCCAGACCCTGGCCCTCCAGAAGCTGGGAGCCTCTGCAGACATGGCCCAAGTGGGCACGCTGGAGCCCCAGGCGGGTCGCCAAGGCTGGGCCCCACTCCCTCTTGGGTAAAGCCTCTCATTTGCTCCAGCAGCACCTTCCTGTCCCCAGGGCTGTGGTTCATCACACCTGTCAACAAGCCAAGCCTGCTGGGCCCAGGGAGGCAAGTCTCCAAGGTCCACACCACTCTGGGAAAATAAAGAAAAGGTTTGGACGGCCGGGCTGTTGCAGCTGTGAGGGAACCAGTGCCCTTTCCCGCAAGCCCTGTGTCTTGGAGGAGCCGGGGACAGGAGCAGCAGCCTCCCCGCCAGCCTTCGTGTCTGGGCGTATGGTCTGGGCCGGAGACCACAGCAAACCATCCTGCTGGGCAACGAGGCCAGGAACCACAGAACCTGAGCCCTGGGGCTCCCCCAGGCCCTCGGCAGCCAGAGGGACCCGGGCTTGGGCCCCCAGCTGGTGGAGGGAGCAGACACCCTCCCGCCATCGTGCCTCTTCCTGACAATGTCCCTCAGCGGGCACCCCTGTAGGTGGTCTCCACCAGCCACGTCTTGAAAGAGCTGACCGTGTCCACCACTGTAGGTGCCACAGGGGAGGCATGGGGACCGGGCAAGGGCAGGAGCTGTTCCAAATGCCACTGGAATCTCCCCAAACATCCCCATGAGCCAGAGAAATAACATGCACAGCATTTCTTCCTTTTTTTTTTTTCAAAGATGACCAGTAAGGGGTTCTTAACCCATGGCCTTGGTGTTGTCAGCACCACGCTCTCCCCAGTGAGCCACGGGCCGGCCCAAAACGCACAGCATTGCTAACCACACCTGCCCCTCCGGGCCTAAACTGCGAAGAACCCAACCCCCTCTGCTGACTGACGGAAGGGAAACAGCGCTCCGGACCTCAGCTCACCACATTTACCACCCAGAGCAGGTGGGGATGGGCGCCCAGACCGCACCCCGTGAGCACCCCACAGTGAGCCGCAGAGCCAAGGCCAGAGGTCCCAGACCCCAGCAGTCCCCACACACTGGGGTCAGCCCGCACACCCAGTGGTCCCACACCTCCCTGCTGGGGTGCGGCTTTCTCACCAGGCTCCAACCCCAGAACACCCGGAGCCAGGAGGGACAGGAAGGGTTACCCTCTGTGTGAAGTGATGCCAGAGAAGGTGGCGTTCAGGGAAGCATCAGTGGGAAGTGCCCACAAAATCCGGAGTGACTTCCTTTCAAAGACAAACACGCAGCCACTCGCTCCTGCAGCTTCTGAGGACATCTGAGGACTGAGGCACCTTGGCCCCCTTTGCGCTGGCCCCACTGCCGCCCCTCGGCCTTACCTCTGTGTGCCGCCCAGTGCAGGCAGCATGCTGGCCTCGAGGCCCCGGCAAAGTCAGGCAGGCGGATGGCAGTCAAGGCCCGAGTGCCCGAGGTCCCACCACCTCGGGCCCTGCCAGCTCTCAGCTCCCCAGGGCACAGGCACCAGGCGGGGTGTGGCCGCTGGGCAGAGTGTGAACTTCAGTCCCCAAGAAGCTCACCTGCTGGATAAGATGTGAGGCCACACCCTCTCCTCTCACCTGATCCGAGAGCTTAACTGTTCTGCTCTCAGGAAGAACCAGAACATCTCCTGGGCTTGGCACAGGGGCCTGGGGCTCCTTCAACTGGTGTCTCCCTCTGCTTGCCAGGCAGGGAGCCTTGGCAGCTGAGAGGTCAGTTCTCGGGCAGGACTGGCCTCAGCGGGCTCCCTCCTGCTTGCCCCACCCCACCCGCAGGGGCCAGTCGGCCAGGGTGGGCTTGGAGGGAGCTGTCCCGACTCGGGACAGGCTTGGTGGACCCAGACAGACCAGCAAGGGCTTCTGGATCCAGAACTAGAGACAGACGCAAACAGATCTTCTCCTCTTGGGTTGTGCGTGGAACAAGGGCTGAGAATCAGTCTGCAGGTCTAAGGAGGATAAGGAAAGTACGGGATCGGATTCCAGAGATTTTTCTTCCTTCTTCATAAAAGCTTGCTTTATACTAAGTGAAAATCTAACTGGCTACTTTTTAAATCGTGAGCTTGAAAAGAACTTTCCAAAGAGGACACTGAAATGGAAAGAAAATACTAAGACTGGTAGATTTCGCTGCGTGAAAGTTCATTTCTTTCTTCAGGACATAAGTAAATATAAATCTGAGATAAATGACAAACCAGGCAAATGTGTGCAACATTCTGACCAAGTGTCACACTCACACAGATAAACGTTTCTTGCAGATCAATAAGAAAAAGACAAACACTCACAGAGCAGGTGGCGTGCTGTGCTGGCCCTCGCCCTGTCACAGCCAGCCCTGGTGCGGGTAGCCTGGACCCCTCACCAACCTCCAGACCTGGGCACAGCTGGACACAGCCTTCCCTGGGGACTGCCTTCCCACAGCACCCCATCTCTGTCCGTGCCAACTGAGCCTCAATTCCCAGATGGGTCTGAGCCTACTGGCAGCCCCCCAGCCCTGGTCAGTGGCTGGAGTAGGTCGGCCAGTGCCCCATTGTGGCCAATGAGCTAGAAGGAGGGGGGTGGGCTACAGAGGATTAGAAATCTTGATTCTCATTTGATTTTTAGAATAGGGTTTTTAGGTAATGGATGGATGCGGCGACAGTCTCCGGCCAGCGGGCAACAGCCCATCTAATCAACTCGAATCACTGCGTAGGTGTGGGTTGTAGACTTTCACGATTTCAGAGCTAACAGGTGGTTGCCATACCAATCCTGTTAAGAGATTTTAAAGAATTGCTGTAGGGAAAAATGTGAAAAAATGTCCGCTAAGGGCAAGCTGTCTGCTGATGGGAACTTTAGAGACAATTATACTTAGATTTAAATGATGTTACCAGTTTCCATTGTTTAAGCTTTACTTAGTATATTAGTCCGTTTTTGTTGCTTATAACAAAGTACACTGAACTGGGTGATTTATAAAGAAAATGCAGTTTATTTGCTTACAGTTTCTGAGGCTGGGAAGTCCATCTGGTGGTGGCGACAGTGACCCAGGGATCTCACATTGTAAGATGGTGGAAGCAGAGAGAACAGGAGAGAGACAGACAGACTCTCCTCTCTTTTCTTTTAAAGCCCTCAGAACCACGCCCCTGACCACCATTTTTAATCCACTCACTACTGCACGGTGTACAACCCAATCACCTCTTCAAGGCTCCACCTTTCAATTATCATAATAGGATTTCCCACCCTCTTAACAGTCACAGTGGGGCTAAGTTTCTAATACATTAAACCTGGGGGACACAATTCAAGCTTCAGGGAGTTTTGGGGGGACATAATTCAATCCACTGCACTTAGCCATAGATAACTTTTGTCACACTGCCCATGTCTTTGTGTCCTTTTGGAATGATTGAATCAACCGATTTTTCTTGTGAAACTTCCTTGTCTTTACAATAAAAAACAGAAGCAAACTTTGAATCAAGGTTGCACCCAGTTTCTCCTTCTAACAGAGGAGCTGCTGAGGTGCAGTCCCTTCAGGCTTCTCACTGCATTCATACTGCATTGAGTAATCTTCTTTGCATCTCTGTTACACAGAAAGAAGCGTACCCATGGGCTGAGGGGCTTCGAGGAGGAGAGATGCTCAGGCATCAGAGACCCAGCCTCTGGCAGGGTGGTCACAAGACCCTCCCTGCAGGGAGCCCTGCCCAACTCCTCCCACTCAGGGCCCAGCCCTCAGCACTGTGGCTCCTCTCCCCACTTACCTCCACTTGCAACCTGGGGTCCTGGTGCCCCAGACCCTGGCAAGGCATCACCCTCTGAGCACAGGGTAGTGCCCCCTGCAGACTCCCAGTCTGAGTGCAGGGGCTAGTGGAGCAGCTCTCCTGGTGCTCACAGCAGGTGGCTGGGCAGCTGTCCACCCAACACTCCCTGCACCCCACCATTCCATTCCACTATCCAGGGAAATCAATGGGGTGGGGGTGAGGGTGTCTTGCTCCACCTTTAAGGGAGACTCTCCCCTGTTCTTTGTGCCCAGTCTGCCAGGATACCACAGGCTCAGCCCAGAAACAAAATGGATTGTACCTCGCATGGTGTCACCCCTGAGCATCTCAGAGTCATCCTGGCAATGCACGTGACTAGCCCATGGGCACATGCCATGAAGGCCCCTCCCTCCCAGGCTGGGGTCCCCAGCCCCCCAGGTCCTGAGTGACTTATGGGGCCTGAGCAGGAAGAGTGGGCTCGGCGGGGGTGGTCTCAGCCACCAGCCACCCTTGCCCCTCCAGGGGCAGAATGGGACAATGCCATGTGGCATGGAGCAGTGGCCCCTGGCTCCAGCCTGGCCCAGAATGAGGCTAGGGGACAGGTGACCAGGTGCACAGAGGGAGGGTCACCTGCAACTGGCTGGCCCTGCCCAGAGCCCAAAGGAGACAGAGGTTCCAGGGCTCCAGCCACTTCCTGAGGAGGCAGCTGCTCCAAGCAGGCCCCAGCAGACATGACCAGGACACCAGTGAGACACAGGCAGTTTCTGTCAGAGCAGACACACACGTCCCAAAGCTGTGGCTGGCAGGAGCCTGTGTTCTCCACCCCTGCTCTGCCACCCCCAGCCAGTTTGAGTGAGGGACAGTTCCAGGAGCCCAAGGCTCTGCCTCCTCTCAGACTGACCTTGCCAAGTGCCCAGTGTGAGGCCTGGGTCCTGTGAGGCCTGGTCGTGGGCCAGGCGCTGGCCAGATCCAAGGCAGGGGGGGCTCCCGTCTGGACTCCCTCCCACACATCCTTTGCCAACCCAGGGCTCCTGGAACCCTGGGAGTGAGCGGGAGACGTCTGCACTGACCGTCTGCCAGCATTCACAGGGGCCCCTGCCTGTGGGTGGACCCTGCTCTGCTCCCAGTTCTCTGCTTTCTGGAGTCGAGGGTCAAATCTTCAGGGCAGGCTGAGCTGGTGCCACCCCTCCCACCGATCAACTTGAACGTCTCTGGACACACTGCATCCCCCTCTCCTTCACTGTCTGGAGGGAACCCTGGAAGGTGGCTCGGGCACCATACACTCTGCCCAGAAACAATGGGAAGGTCATCTGACCCCCTGGGCCACCATCCCATGGAACAGCTATTTGCACACCTGCTGGACGGGGGCTGCAGGGAGGAGCCACTGCAGACCTCACACGTGAGTGAGTCAGGAGCCAGCGAGGCTGACCTCACACCTTCGAGCACCCAGAGCAGACGGACCCCCTGGCTTTGGCTCCTGTCCAGGTACCCAGGCCTTGTCCAGACACACTCAGGAAGCTCCTCCTCACCTGATGACTGTTCTAGAAACTTCACAGCAAATCTGCTCAGGGCTCGCTCTCAAGGGGTGGGGCAGGCACAGGGCCCTCTGAGTGTGTGACTGCCCGCCCAATGGCCACCTGGGCCTTGAGCCCTTGCCAGGACCTGCCCCAGCCTGTCCTCCCCAGACCCTTGAGGTCCAAAGGGAAGTTCTTCAGAGACCACCATGGGGGACCTGGGTCTGCCCAGGGGGATGAGTGGAGGCAATGATGGGGGTCTCTCAGGTGCAGATCTGGGCACCTAACCTGCTATCACAGCAAGGAGAGGGCTGTCCTGGGGCCTCACCAGTGGAAGAGTGTGCCGCAGAGCTCCTCATGCTGTGGCCCCAAGAAAAAGTGGCAGGGCAGCTTCAGTTCTGGCATGTGCCACCAGGAGGAGGACAGCCCTCTTGGGACCCACCCAGCCACCCCCAGGGCAGCAGCCACACTCCAGTGGCCATGTTTGTTCTCGGCTTTGCTAACTGCTCCTGGAGGACAGGCGGTTCTCTTTTTAGTTCTTATGGGTCACCTGTCAGAGGGGCGGGCAAAGCTACCAACCAGGTGGCTTCAGAGTCCGCACATCTGCCCAGGCTCTTAGATAGTCAGCAACAGGAAGGTGCTAGGGGAGCTGCACCCCGAGGGACCCAGGCAGTGGCCTTCCAGTCACATGCACCCAGAGGCAGCAGGACAGGACACTGGACCCAGAGAGCCCAGCCAAGGAGCCAGTACAGGGCAGCCATCACCGGGAGGCCAATGTGCTGGGCCAGGTGAGCATAGCCCACCTGGGCAGGGACAGGGATGGCAAAGTGTAGAGGATTCTTTTTTTTTTTTTTTCCTTTTTGTCTTTTTTACTGACCGGCAATGGGATCGCAACCCTCGGTGTCGCACCCGCACCGCACTCAGCCAGTGAGAGGGAACTGGTCTCCACATGGGATCCGAACCCTCGGTGGGAGCGCCGCCATGCTCCCAAGCGGCGCACTCTCCAGTGCACCACCGGGCCGGCCCATAGAGGATTCTTAAAACAAATGTACTTCACATGGCCTGGTTTTCCAAAGCCTTGCAGTTTCAAATATTGACATTGCAAGGACTGGAAATTTCCTTCAGGCTATAAGTCTCTGGTGT